GCGATGTGGTTCATGGGGTCACGAAGAGTCGGACACGACTTAACGACTGAACAACAACAATGGTTTATACTGGGAGGATTTGAAAGATGAACACATTTTCCGTTTATTACGTTTCATCACTATAAACTGCCTAGGGTCATCACTGGGCAGCTTGCAATTTTTGGCAATGCATAAATAAATGAATAACGCGGGCTGAGAACTTTTTTTGCCATTTACAAGACTGGATTCATTGCCCCCGAGATCACCTGCTGGACAGCCATCCTTCAAAGGTAGCATCTGTATATTTAACTCCCTCTCACAGCTTAATGGAAGGTGGACGGTATGCACCATTCTATCCCACCCAGAGCTCCTTTGGGACGACAGGCAGCCATATAGAATTGTTAAATAAACAAACAAACAAACAAACAAATTCCTGTAATATGGGGCTGAGCACTCTCAACATGAACACTCTGTATATAATAATCTAAACTACAAGGGGTCTGTGAGTTGAACTCCTGGTTTGAACCCCACAGAGCTGCGTTTCTCAACTGTGGCCACTTGAAGACGTGTGGACTTCAACGCCCAGGATTCCCCAGCCAGTCATGCTGGCTGGGGAATCCTGGGAGCTGAAGTCCACTCAGCTGCCACAGACTAAGATCTGGTTATGTAGGACTGATGAGAGGATACTTAATAAGGATGAGACTGCGCTGCCGCCTAGTGGTCATCACGTGCAGCTCCGCTCACTTTTTCTACTGCTGAAATAAAGGGCAAAGCTCCGGGCTGATAAAAAGGCTCTTCCAGGGCGTTTTCCCCAACACGTGAGAATGCAGAAAGGGGGTGCGACAGGAGAGCAGCCGAACAGAACTGCAGACCCTGTCACCTGCCTTTGGGCCTCTTCTGAGACTGAATCGATGTGCAACTTTTTTGCTGTTGTATCCGATCCACTGATGCTGGCTGTGAATCCGTGAAGCCCCCCCACCCCTTTTCTCTCTGCACAGCTGGAGTCTCGCAGTTTCAACAAGCACGTTATCGATCTGAATACAGGTGACATTTAGACGACGTCACAAAGACAACGCTGGCAGATCAGGTCTTTGCTAAGTGAAACTTAAAGCAACTTTAAAACCTCTGCGGCGCTACTCCAAAAGTCCACAACCAGGCACGTTTTTCTTGCAAGGGTGTGGAAAATGGGTTCTATAGTATTGCTCGTGCCATTTCGTAGGGACGAGGTGAGACAGGAAAGTGCACCTTTTCTTAAGTTTGGCTCAAAGCACCATGCACGCAGAGGAGGGGAAACTTAATTACTTCTGTTCAGAGTATCAGAAGTGCCAATCCTCCTGGCACTGGAGGACTTGGGGCTAAATCCAGCCCAGAGATCCAATCTGCCATGCCAGAGGGAAGAAGGCTGTTCTGGCAATGGCAACAGGGATTCTCTGACAGCCGGCCAATGTGCCATCCATTTATCAGCCCCCGACTATCCTCCTGAAATTGGCACAGTTGCCAAGGAGTTGACAAATGTAACTTACCAGATGAATGAAATATCATCTTTTAAAAGGAGAGCTTAGAAGCAGCCCCTGTGTAAACCAGCAGAAAAAGCAAAGGATAGAACAGTCCAGGCTTCTCAAAAAACTGAAAATGCCAGGGGGTGGGGAGGGAAGGGGAGGTAGAACTACCTAACGGGGGTCCAGTAAATCCAAAATGTTATGCAGGGATTTAATAACACTAATAGTGCATCTCTAGCAGAATGTAGAGGAATACAGAGCTGGCCTTGAAGAAAACATGGGGCAGCCATAAGGGAAACGTGAGCGTAGCCCCAGAAAACAGGAAGGGTGAGAAAGAAACTCAAGATTGCCCCACTTTGATTCTCTTGGGTATAAGTGGGAAGGAAGGGGTAATGCTGTCAGACTTTCACGATTCTGTTACGATAGCCTATATCAACAAAGTAAGTCTTACTACTTCCTGGGGGGTCTGTTTCCTGACCCAGACTGTCTCAAAGGGCTGACACAGAGAGAGAGAGAGCCCCGAGGATTCCCCAGTGAAAAGAGAATCTACCAAATAACAGATGTGCAAAAAAGGCAAGATTAGGTCAGCAGGAGGAAAACGTTTAAGATCTGAATCCTTTTCTCCTGCTGCCCTTTCCGTCACTCCATGCCATGATTTGATACGTACCCTATGCCGGGGACTCCTGCTCCTGGAAACTTTGCCTGGACGCACAGCAACTGATGCCCAGGCTGACGAGTGGAGGAGCTTCCTTGGTTCCGGCAGCGCTCCCCGTTTTCCCCCGGATGCTTCCTTTTGAGGCATGGCTTGCCTCTGGTGTGCAGGCCAGCGGTGCTCTGAACATAGTCGGCAGAAAGCTGAGGCATGTCTTTGAAGTCGTCTGTGTTGATCTGAATGACGTGACTGGGCGACAGCAACCGGATAATGTCGATCAGGAGCAGCAATCCGGCACCTTGGAGCCAGGAGCAAAAACAAAGCCCGTATTAAGCGGGTAGGAGAACGAGACTGCTGTTGCTGCTGCCAGAACGAACCAGAAACAAAGAATTCACACAAAGGATGCAACCGTCTGCCTTGTCGACATGCCTATCTTATCTCAGCAGCTTTTTCTGAAAATTGGGGAAAGCTGCAGAGTCAGAAACTAGGAGGTGAAAGGAGGTGCACAGACTGATGCTTCTGGTGGCTCAGGAGCATTAGAAGCAGGAAAGTCTGGAAAATAAACTCAAAGTATCTGAAGCCACAGAATTGTTATAACTTGAAGGATGCGGCCTTTGGAAAGGTTCTAAAATTGGGAGTTTCTTCCTCTCCTGAGTGGCAAACTGGAAACACAAAGTGGGAAACACCTTCAGCTCAGCTTCTCCCACAAAAAGGGGGAAGCAGGAACGTCAAGGGGCCCAAGCAAGAACGGGAAGAAGGATATTGTCCCCCATCACTGAACTGTAACCAAAAATTCTCTCTCTCTCACTGACCTCTGTGAAGCAAATTAGCTATCCTTATTTTAAACCCTAATTTCAAAGACTCTGGAGTCATTATAAAATCTTAACCTTGTGCCCAGGGGGTCCTAGAGCAGTGAGGAATAGAAGACCCCCCACCCTTTAAAAGGAAAAAAAAAAAAGTGGGAAGGGGAGCCCAGGAAAAGGACTGGCTTAGCAAAGCTCTACCTTTCACCCATCCCATTGTGTTGATCAGCAAAGGGACGTCTCTCTCGTAGGCGCTGAACACGTATTTCAGCGTGTCAAGATATCTCTCAGTGTCATGCTCGCAAGAGGTGTCTCCATAGTATGCCATTTTACGGGGGGGACGCTGGTGTGTGAACGGCGGACCTGAAGCAAAAGGCAGGTCAGACAGAAATTGCAGCGCTCAGCAGGTTGATCGCAAGGGTTATAAATATTTTCGGCCAGTGGATGTTCCAGGTGCTCTGACAAAGAGGCTCCCACTGAGGGTTTTCTATTTACAAAACGGGGGCTGCAGCAGACGAGACCAGCCACAAAACACCCATTTATTAGCAGACAAATCCCAACTCACCCCATTTCCAATCCCAGCACCAGGCTGCAACTGGCTATTTCTATTTTGTAAGGATGCTAGAGACTTCCTTAGCAGCATGCTGGCTTATTAATAATTCATTTCAAACAATTAAGTTAGGTGAACTGGGGAACAAAGAAGCTCTCTGTGCGTGCAGGGATACCTTGCAGCCTAAATGTCAGTATTATTATTATTAGATTTCTATCCCGCCTTTATCTTATACAACTCAAGGCACTGTACATAATGCTCCAACCTCCTACTTCCTCCACAACAACCTTGTGAGGTGGGCTGGGCTGAGAGAGAGGGACTGGCCCACAGTCACCCAGCTGGCTGTCATGCCTAAGGGAGGCCTGGAACTCCCAGTCTCTTGGTTTCTAGTCTGGCACCTTCACCACTATACCAAAACTGGCTTTGGGGTAATTATTTTGCCCCTCCCTCTCCCTTACCACCCACATTTTTCTTCACAGCTGTGACATCCTATGTCAAAAGACTTAGTTTTTCAGGGTTATTTGCTTTTTAAAAACCATTTGGAAAGGCTGATACTTGAAAAGGGCCTCTTTCAATGGAAGATAGGAAGATGGCTCGGGAGAATTCTCCAAGGCACATACCCAAAAGAGGTTCTGTCACGTTAACCAGGGAAATGCACCCAGGGGGGTTGAACTCAGGCTGCCCCAGGTCACATTCCAAGAATTCAATGCAGGGAAGGCTGTAATTAAAAAAAAAAAGAGATAGATGTTCCGCAGATAATTAAAAAACACAGCAAGCTTAAGAGAGCCAGAGAGAAACCACTCACCTGTTTAGTAAAAGATTAATCAGGTATCTGTTAAACGTTGACTTCCCGATACTTTTGGGGCCACAAACTAAGATAACAGGACAGCCTTCATCTTCCTCTGAAAAGCAAGCAAACATGGATGAGATTATCTTTGTGAAGTGAGATTCTTCACAATCCCCCAAAGATTCAACCCGTAAGGAGATTTCAGAGCACCTGGGGGCGAACCCTAGAAGAACACCCTAAAAAGAGGGCGTTCTACACCCTTACAGGAAGGGATCAGGGAGAAATTGGTTCAAAAGACAAGGAAATGCCTTTTTGGCAGTAGCCAAGCACCAAAGAGCTTTAGGTGTGACACGGCATTGGTGACCAGTCAACTCCTGCAAACGATTATAAACCTACGTCAAGCCTCACAGGTGTAAATACAACCACAGCTTTGTCAAGATCAAAGGTGGCATTAAGGACTCTTGTCTCAAGCTTTGGACAAAGGAAAGACCCACCCATCCAAAATCCTGGGGGCTCTGCTCCTCCGCGACTGTCCTAAACACGTCTTTCAAAATCAATCTTATTTATTTATATTTATATGTCAAGTTTGGCACTGCCCATCTCGTTAGAAAGCAACTCTGGGGGGTTTACAGGAAAGATAATAAAACAATTCATCCTAAAGAAAATAGTAAGTCTCTTCCAAGATCACTGATGGTAGCTCGAAATTATTAGGCTTGGGGAGCGTCATCAGAGTGCCAGCCACCCCCAGGCTTGGTTAAAGCTGAGGTTAAAAAATGAGGCTGCTAAGCTACCCACCTTGGCATGCGTGGATTAGCTCCCCAATGGCAGAAAGCATGCTTTTGGATACGAGCAGGCCGCTGCCTGGATCCAGCCTCCCAAGGCCAGCGGAAGCCAGCACTGTATCTTCCGGGATGAAAGAGAAAGCCTCTTGTCTCTAGGGAGGAAAGCAGGGAGTGGGATCAGCCGTGGAAGAAGGGGGCAGGGGGGAGACCAAAACCACATAGGAGCAAAATGCAGCGGAAGGCGTGCCATGGTTCTGGTCTTCAGCTGCCGTGTGCAGAGCAATGCCCAGCTGTCGAACGCTTTGGACACAATATGCTTTAGGCAGCTCCTCGTCCTGTCTCTGGGATGAGGTTCCAGGGACCAATGGCCCCCCTGGCCTCATTGGATCGGGAGGTACAGACAGAGAAGCCCTTCCTTCAGAACACTCTAAGTGGCCTTAAAGATATCGTATTATGAATATTTAGGAACTCACTTTGGCTCTGAAAATCTGGGAGAAATCAGAGTGGTTGAGAACGAACTTTGTCACTGGTGTGTCCAGGTGTTCCAGCAAAACGATGGAGCAGTGTGGAACAAAGCGTTTTAGCAACCTGCATCTGGCCTCTGAAAAACAAAGGATAAAGCCATCCATTTTATATGTACCGCTAAAACTAGATAGATCTCCATAGCAACAGTCTCCTACTACAGATCCAAGACTCTGGATCCTTCTTCCAGAAATTGATACAGAAGCGGCAGACTTTTTCCGATTAGACGGCCTGGCTGCTTTAGAAAGCCACAAAGCCGGGCTTTTACAGCGGGGGGTTGGTCCATGGTAGAAATAACTGCCTCGCATAAAATTACTGTCATTTATCGCATTGACGTTGCTGACTTATAAGATTCAGCCTACGATTCGTATATGATACTAAGCTACGATCGGCTTAATTATTGAATAAACCAAAAGCGGTTGGGTATGCAGAATATAAAAAGGTATAAACCATAATTCACAGGCCCAGTGACTGGGTCCACATGCTATGCTCAAACCACACAGACCACATTACAGCTTTGTGCAATGCACCTCAGAATCTGTTGATCGCTGGAGTAAACAGTATAAATCATGGTATCTGCAAATCCAGATCACACACAAGTGCTGGTGGTCCTGTAAAAACATTCATGTTTCCAACCACACACCAACTCACACACGCCATCCGACAGCCCTTGTGCACACACAAGCTCTACCACAAGTACAAGGAGCAGAGGGTTGGATTCAAAGACCTAGGCCAGTGTTCCTCAACCTTATCACCTTTAAGATGTCTGGACTTCAACTCCCAGAATTCCCCAGCCAGAATGCTGGCTGGGGAATTCTGGAGGTTGAAGTCCAGACATCTTAAAGTTCCCAAGGCTGAGAAACACTGGCCTAGACAATTGCTTCTGTTTCTAAGGCCTCTAAGACTCCCTACTTCCATATAAATGGAATCAGAACAGCTGCCTATTGCATTTTTATGTTGCTTCTATCAGTATTTCACTGGTCCCGTTCTTCAGTGTTATTTTTAAGAAGAAAGGAAATATAAGCATCATAAATAAAACAAAATGTACCTGGAAGGTTGTGGATAGGCCTGTATATTTACAAGGCATCCCAGCCAAAAAGTCATCTCCTTTCCACAGCCTAATCCCATGGGGGTAGAGAGCTCTGGGTAATGTGAGCCATACATCACACTGTTCTCCATGCAGCAACCTGTTCAGCTAATTCCTCACATCCCTTACCGTGGGGTACAAAGTGTGCTCTGAGTATGGATTTGGCCTCCAATTTCATCTCCTTCTCAGATTTTCCCGGATCCTTACAGGCAGCGGCTTCAATGGTGAGGGCACAGTAGGTGTGGGGGGAATAGAGATTGTAAGGGGGCTGATCTGGAGCAATTGTGAACCCAAATACCTGCACGGAGCCATACAGGCACGTCAGGCGACATTTGCCGGTGAACGTCAGTGTCTGGGAAGAGAAGCCAAAAACAAGCTTGGGAACACAAAGCTGCAAATGTTATTAGTGTCAACCTCCTCACAGCAGAGAAGCAGGAATTTGGCAAGGAGTTGTAATGCAAGAATTAAAGATAAGGTGCAAAATCTTGGAAAGTGTCAGGTGAACCTCCAGATCTCATTTATTAGTGAGTTCGTTAAGCTGGAATCTCTTTGAATGTTTTGAATTTTCCTAAGTTTTTTGCAGTCTGGATGGAACTGCTGTTTATGAGATAAACTACAAACAAACTCCTCTCCCTCCACATCTAACATTCTTCCCATCAATTTCCCCTTATCTCCCGCCAATCATTATTATTTTATAATCATCTGGAAAGCCTTCCCCATTCAAAGGAATCTTAAAAGATGGTCCTAGAAATTCCAATATCGCCCATCTGGACTTTTCTCATCAGCTTCCTTCACTTATCTGTAAAATCTGATTAAAGAGAAGCCCCAAAATACTAAAATATAGATTTGTTAAAGTCTACTTGTTCTTTAGGTACCCTCTGAAAAGGTGGCAGAATTGACTTAGATTGATGGTTATCATTCATATCACAAGGATACCCAGACCTCATCGCTCAGGGAAGGATCTGAGAGTGTATAAAAAATGAAATGTTGGGGGGGAAAAAAAAGGCTGGCCAGAATACATGACACATGTAAAATAGAGGTGGGGCTTCACTTGGGCAGCTGTGAGGGCCCTTTTGACTTTTTTGACCCCTCCCCACAGATGACCCTGCTCCTCAAAGCCTTCATGAAAATGTTAATTGAAAGAACGAGAGCTTTGATCAACAGTATGAAGAGAAGGAAGACTGCAGTCGCAACTTAAGGATTCCAGCAAGGACCTGAACTTCAAACAAGACATATGCATATGCATATACGTATACATATACATACACAGCAAATTCTCATTATTTGCAATAATGTTCTATAAAATTGCAAATACTGAACCATTGCTCCTAGGGAAATACAGGGTTAGGTTCCTATGAACCTCTGAATAAACTTTTTTGCCAACTAATACCCAACCTTGTTTTATACATATATTATAAAACCACCTTATTTAAGGTATATCTTTCTCACAAATAAAAAAAGGAAAAAAAGCAAACAAAAAATAAACAAAGATTAAGCATTAAGTTTTATCATTTTTTTCCTAACTTGTGATGGCCATTTTATCCCCTCCTGTTTTTGTGTGTTTTTACTGTTTTTTATATATAGTGTTTCATGTATTTATTTTTTTAGTTGTTGGACGCCACCCAGAGTCACCTGGTGCGAGATGGGCGGCTATATAAATATGACAAATAAATAATAAATAAATAAAACCAGCAAGATCCTTGAGAGAAGATGCAAATGTGTCCGCGAATAACTGCACCGCGAGTATCGATTTGGGGGTCACAACCAAAAGTTTAGCAAGCCCCTATATGGCTATATGGCTAGCCCCATAGAGGCCTGCTGTCTCCAGCCCCAGATTCTTCATCTTCTTGGACTCTCCTTTTCCTCTTTTTTAGTAACGTTTTTTAAATTTTGATGTTCTATGTATTTATATGCATTTATAGCTTTAATGTTTTGTGTGAGTCGCCCAGAGTCCCCCATTAGGGGGAGAAATCTAATAAATAAATAAATAAATAAATACGGCCTGTAGGCAGTGTGGTGGGCCAGTTTGGGGCTGCGGCAAAAGGCGCTGGGCTAGAAAGCGGGGAACGGTGAGTTGCGGTCCTGCCTTAGGCATGAAGACCAGTGGGGTGACTTTGGGGCAGTCCCTCCCTCTCAGCCCCGGGAAGGAGGAGAAGGCAGTGGCAAAGCACTTCTGAAAATGTTGCCAAGAACACAACAGGGGCTCCTGCAGGACTGACCTGAAGGGCCCTCAAAGGGCAGGCAATGGCCTATTCCAGTGTTTCTCAACCTTAGCCCCTTTCAGAGGGGTGGACTTCAACTCCCAGAATTCCCCAGGCAACAAGGCTGGCTGGGGAATTCTGGGAGT